TACATATATTATGTAAACAAAAACTTTTATTTTGGACGTGATTAATCGTTTGACAGCACTATATTTTATTTTATTTTATTGTAGTATTTTATTTTATTTATTAAAATAAGGTTCTTATAAAGTGAACACAAGAAAACAAATTTATATTTTGACCTTATATCTTGAAAATATTGGGCTATTATTCTTATGAAAGAAAATGAGAATATATTCTGATATTTTTTTTATAACTAGAAAGTATTGGATTATATTGTGTTCCCTTTCAGTCGGTCACTTCGGCGTTCAAGTTCCGACACTAGGGGTCGCACTTGGGAGCCCAGACACCTCTGAAATCATTGAGAAAGGCCAATGAAATTGGCGAGCAAAATTTGCATAGCTGTCCATATCCGGGTATAAATAGGCCAGCCTGGCATTTGCTCACTCTTTCTGTTCTTCGGAGCCGATGCAACGTCTCTTTTGGAAAAGCAGCACTTCAGTCACCTCTCCAGCTCCTCGTTGTTGGATCTATGGCACAAGCAGCGGTTTCTGAGAGTGAAAGTACCCCTGGGTGCTTCAACAGTGATCTTTGAGAGCAAATTTTCATCCTAAAAGAACAATTTCTCTAAAAGAGCTTCACGGGTAGATTTGTGTGTGTTCACAACATGCCTTTCCATCTGTGCCCTTCTGGTTGTGGTTTGTGGATGGTTTATGTCATTCTTGTGAGGACATGGCTATCAGCACGTTGAGCTTGCGGCTTGTGTTCTTATTTTAAAGAATGACAGCGTGTCATCTTAGCTGGTTCCCGCCCTTTTAGTCTGAGTCTGACGCTGAGATGGCAGCCGTTCTTACCCGGGCAGCAGAGAGTGCCAGACTTGAGTGGACTCCTCCACCCTGTCCGGGGCTCTCTCGGTTGGATGGTTCTTGGAGACCAAGTTCCTTTCTTCCTGGAAGTGCACTAGGAGCCAATAAAATCGTGGAAGGCACCTTTCTGCCATAACACGATATACTGGTCCCTCACCACCTTTGACGGCGGTCCAGCGAAGGGATATGCATGGGTCCCCAGATGGAGAAAGCGATTGCGGTGCATTCAGAACTGTGTCCGCTCTGCACGCCATGGCTGTCCTGCCGGTGTTTAGGCCAGGGTCTGCATGAGGGTGGTCCCAACCTGGAGCATGCAGGAACTGCATCCGGCGACTAACTATGCCCTCCGAGCTACGGAGTTCACGACTCAGGCTCTGGGGAAGGCGATGTCCACATTAGTGGCCCAGTAGCACCACCTGGGGCTCACCCTGACAGGGATGTGGGTTCTGAGAAAGTGTGCTTTCTTAACACCCTCATTTCCCAGGTTGGTCTCTTTGGCAACACCATCAGAGAATTTGCCCAGCAATTCTCGATGGTCAGCAAGTGGGCGGGAATATTCTGCATCGGCTTGGGTCGGGTTCTTTCCTTGGACCCCCGACGTAGCAATCTCTGTCTGCTTGTCGCTGGGGACGCCCTGCGAGAACTGCACTGACCCTGCAGTAGCCTGGACTGGCAGTTAAGCCCGACTAACGGCTATCTTCTCGCAGCCAGGTGGCACCACCATTTTATTCTCAGGTTGCTTAGAACCCTCAGGCAGGTTTCATAGCAGACATGAAACGAGTGACCCAGGGTATTTGCTGACCAGCCAGCTCCACTTCCATTGGGGGACAGGAGGTGGATTCTGCATCACCTAGGCTATCTGCCATTCTGCAGACGGCCACTAGGTGGTCAGTAAAACAGGAATTCATTCTTCCCTGGGTCATACTACTCACACGGTATTTCTGGCCCTTGGTATCACGATGGCCAGGTACTGAAATTGAGCATCAAAGCCTGTTTGGACGCAGTCTTCTGCCTCCTCACATTTTAATGCACCAGGTCTGATCTAGGGCCTGAGTGGACTGAATGTGCATTACTGAGTACTAAACTCATTTAATGTCTGTTTCATTCATACTGGACGTCAGAAGGCACCCACGTGCAGAAACTCCAAATATGCATCACAGAAGTAATAGAACACATGGTGTTCCAGGAAATCCCTAATATGGACAAAGGTATCTAGCTATCACTGTGACTGAATTAAAAGAAGCTAGAAATGTATGAACTGATTAAGCATGAAGACAATAAACCTACGACAATTTATGGTTTATCTGTGTTCTTTACGCCATCTCGGGTATTTTCTTAATAATAAAGTAAATTTATAATGCAATGCTAATCGACGTAGCATTTATTGCAGAATAGAATATATTTTGTGCCTCATTCTGTAATAAGAAACCACATCAGATCAGAAAATGAAGTTATTTCAAAACACTGATGTAGAGTAAAATCATGTTATAATGTTCTCAACAGCAGGTTTATAAACGCTTCTTATTAAGTTTGAGAGGATGTTTGGAGTGTGTTGCTTAATCAGATGCACGTTATAAGCGACTCAAACTCACAGCGCTTGCAGAGATGAGCAGCATTTACTACTGGCACTGTGCATATATTTATTTCATTAAAAATCGCAGCCTTTGTGATTCAATAATCGCAACAAGCCAAATTGCGATTTCGGTTTGATTTCGATTAATCGTTCAGCCCTAATTACAATACATAACCGAGACGATTTTACAGCTAAGAAATGTTGGGGTTATATTCAGATTTTATTAATAGACAATTCTGGTTTGTATTCTAGATTTATAGTTAGAATTATTGACTTATATTGTGAGATTATAGTGTCCAAATATTTGGTTATATTCTGATTTCATAGCTAAAAAAGACTGGGTTATATTCTGATTTTATAGCTAGAAAATATTGTTGTTGTTTGTTTAGTTACAAAATTTTGGCTTATATTGTGATTTTATAGTGACAAAATATTGGCTTATTCTGAATTCTTGGATAAATGTTGGGTTATATATATTTATGTAAGTCAGCTCTTCTGGTAACTGCTCCATGTGGTTGACCCACTCAACCACGTGCACCTTAGACACTACTTTTATTTTTCTAAGTCGTCCAGTGAGTGTAGCACTCCATAAGCACACTGCATACTTAGAAGTGATTGAAGCACCTTAATTCTTAACTACTTTCTAGCCTTGTTACAGTTAAGTGTGGTAGAACTTGAGTGCGGAGCATAACAGAGTTTAGTTTCAAGAAGTGAAATTTTCAACTCTTCAGTTATTCTGATCCAAAGACCAAGTATGAATGCAGCATTTATGATGTTCTTTAGCTCTGGTAGCTGATGTTCTAGTTCTTTTGCTTGTCAGTGCCATCATTTGTTATGCTGAAGTGAAGAGGTTTGTTTGTGCACCCCTGGTCTGAAAGACCTTGGCATGTCCACTCGCAGCACATCCTCATTCTTTTTTTGGGTGGGTGAATGAGTGATGTGACGTGTAGCCATGTATGGTGTCCCATTCTCGGAATTTGTGCTCTGCATTTAACTCATCCAAGTGCACACACACAGTAGTGAGAAGTGAACACAAACACCCACCCAGAGCAGTGAGCAGCCATTTTTGCTGCGGCACCCTGGGTTTGGTGCCTTGCTAAAGGTTCTCACCTCGTGGTATTGAAGGTGGAAGAGAGCGCTGTACATTCACTTCCCCCACAATCCCTGCCGGTACAAGTCTGACTCTCTAACCATTAGGCCACGACTACCCCAATATTGGCACTTAAAGGGAAAGCCCACATCATCATAATACCTCAAGTCAGTAAGCTTTGACGTTTTTAATCACTCTCCTTTGCTCTTATAATTAATGCAGCCATGATGGTGTTCTTCTAAAAGATGAAGGTTGCATGATTAATCAAGTGAGAAAGCTTTCAGAGATCATACATTTTAATGAACCGTATTACAGTGTGTCGTGTTGTTTTTTAGCACAATGCTATATGAAATTTAATCAATACGCAAACAGTTTGCCCACAGGCCTGAGATGCCATGCGGCTGGGATGCCTCCATGCTCTGTTAAGATTGCTGTGCTAGCACAAAACAACTTCACTAATGGAATCGGTTGAATTATGAGGAGATGATCCCAGTTATTGATCTGACTGACAAAACAGCATTATAATTCAACATGGTCTGGCTTAACGCACAACAACAGAGAAAAAACAATCTTGAGTGTGTCTGAATCTTTGATATTGCCCTCAATTTCCAACTTAAATCAATACTTGTTAATAGTCATTCAGCACAATCGCAATAGTCATCAATGTCAAGTAGATGAGCTGCAGAGTTGGTGCTGGAAGGGGTGGTGATTTTCTCTTTTAATGTCTTTGGTGGTGAATTCATGAAGTTTGATCAAATACCCTTGACATGGAGCTATATATTAGTGACTGATCAGTGTGTATTTTGATGGGTATTACTAATTCTTAAGCATTTAAGTTTTAATAAAAAAGTGTTGTAGTTTTATTATTTCTGTATTTTTTAGTATAAGACAAACCAACTAATACCATAAAACATTACAAAATTAATCAAATCCATTGCAAATACTTCTTTCCCAAAAAAAGATAATGTCACTTACTGAAGGATGATGGACGTAATGAACTGTTTTTTGTTAGTTAATGAGATTTACAAATGACTGACAGGATGGAAAGTGAAATTGGGGACATCGGAAAATATTTGACATGATTACCAATGAAAATAGTTTTCCCAAGAAAAAGCTTGAAACTTTTTAATTACAGTAAAACCGAAGAAGCACCTGGGATATTTCTTAATTAATTGCCAGTTTTTCATGTTAGAATTAGTGCATCTGAGGAAATTGCAACATCTGCTCAGAGCAAAGTAGTGAAATCATTTGAAATGTCTGTTTATTTAATTATGATCGTGTGAAAAGAAAACAAACTAATAGATTAATAGATAAGATTTTTCTTTAAATATTGCAAGTACACATAATATACATAATTGATGAAGGATGTATGAAAACTATACTATACTGCATAGAAGGAAACATTTTGCTGCCTGGTAATTGTCAGAAATCTACTATTTTAGTTAAAGTGCCTACTAATTTTGATAAAATGATCTTCACAACATCTGTTTTCTACCTTAGGATTGGCTGAGCAAGTTTGGCTATCTCCCACCCCCTGATCCTGTGAATGGACAACTACAGACTAAGGAGGCTTTGACAAGGGCCATCAAAGCCATGCAGAGGTTCGGAGGCCTGAAAGAAACTGGAGTGCTAGGTTTGTACATGTTTTATTTTCATAATAAACTCTGGTCCACATTGTCTTTGGTTTTTGTCTGGTAGTTTTAAGAGATACCATCAATGTAATTCAGATTGCTTTGTAGTCTCATGTTCATCTGGCTTGCTGCAGCTAGCAGATTTTAATTTGCAGTCTACAGGACCAGAAAAGCACCACACTATTTGCATTCTGCAATTATGTTTTGATCTGTATTTATGTGTGCTTGTATGTTTCCCTGCAGACCAAGCAACCTTGGGCTTAATGAAGACCCCTCGCTGCTCGCTGCCAGATATGTCAGAGCCGGATATGTTAGCAGGCAGACGAAAGCGAGAGCTAGCTCCTCAGAATAAGTGGAATAAGAGGCATCTTTCTTGGAGGTACATTCATTTTTGGGACTGAAACTGTCTGAGTGATTCCTGTCAGATAGCTATACATGTCGTAGATGTATAAGGTACATTTGAATTCCATACATACTTGAATAAAAGCCTCAGTGGTAGTTAGAGCTGATGGAAAGAAACAGAATTAGTGAGGCAACAAAATGACAAATCTTGGCCAGGGCTGAAAATTATGAACACAATAGACTGAAAACTGAAAATGGCATTTTGTGGCAATTCTGACTTACATTTTTCAGTGGCTGGAATGTTGATGCATCCCTAAAAAGAATTTCAAAACTAGAGTTATTGTCAGATTTTATAGCTAGAAAATGTTGTTATATTCTGATTTGATTACTAGACAATTCTATGTAGATTCTTATTTAGAAAAGATTTGGTTATATTCTAATTTTATAGCTTGAAAATATAGGTTTATATTGTGGGGTTTTTTTAACAAGAAAATATTTTCTTATATTCTGATTTTATGGCTAGAAAGTATTGGCTTATATACTGATAAATATTCTGATTTTATACGTAAAAAAATAATGTGTTGAATTTTATAGCTAGATAATACTGGGTTACATTCTTATAGTATAATATGTTCTGATGTTATCAGTAGTATAGAGTATTGCAGATGAGTGTCCGAAAGCCCTCAACACAGACTGTTCCAATTTCCATCACTGAAACTTTTCAAAATGCCAGTGGTTTGTGAGGCTGTCTGTTTTAATGACAGATTGACCATGTGAATGTGTCTTTTCTTGAAATATGTGTTTATGTTGTGTGTGTGTGTGTGTGTGTGTGTGTGTGTAATATTGGGCTTTGTTTACAGACAGTTGTCTTGGGTTTCATACCATGTTCTTCCGTTTCTCATTACAGAAACCCACTGTGATCTCACATTCTCTGTGTTGTCAATCACACAGGCTTACGCTCATCCCACTCATCCTACCTATAGCATGAAATAAACCCCTGCTACTACCTGTTGTTTCGATTGGTAAAACATCAAAGTTTAGGCATGTTTGTTAGTTGTAGGTAGATTTATTTCATCACCTGGTAAATTAGGTCTCTGTGGATGTTGTCCGTGCTGGGAAATCTATTCCATTGCGATCAGTACAGCATTTTGACTAAGGAACAATTATTGTGGATCATCTAGATATGTTTTCCAATTTATTGGAGATGATTCAGCCCTCATCTGAATTGCTTCATCAGTTGTTGGATGGTAGACATTTCCTGACATTTAAATACCTGATGAAATAGCTTGGTGATTCTTTTAAAGAAATGGAAAAAAGAAAAGTGATTGCAGCAGTATTAATGATAAATATTCCCAAAAGATTCCAAATTCCTACAAGAGATGTATTTTAAATATGTATATATGATTTAAATATGTAAATATCAGCATATATAAGAATGTAACCTTAAAGCTAATAAACATGGCCTAACCGGAACAAAGCTCTCAAATGTTTAATTTCAACACACTGCAATATCATAACACCCACAAATCTTAGTGGAAGTTACCTCTCTGGTGTTTGAAAAGTGATGGCTGTGTGAACTAGGGTTAAATTGCCGTGGCAGAAATGAAAGAGCTTTGAAGGCGTGATATTTGTCCTTCATGCTGGTACACAGTCATCTGCTTGTAAAGTGTAAAGCAATTGTTTTTTTCTTGATGTATATTTCTGGGCATTTTTCACACTTTGTGTTTTTTAAATCATCAGAAAGGTGACTCACACAGCAATCTGTGGGTCTTCACCATGACATTATTCTCTGTGATGAGGTTAAAAGAAAAGTTTACACAAGTTCACTTGTTGTTCCAAACCCGAATGAGGTTTGCAAGCTTTTGCTGAGGGCAAATTAATTAAATTTTGGTCTATTGCCAAGCAAATTAATGTATGCTTTTTTTTTTATAAAGAAAAAAAGCATTCATGTTGCTCAAACAGTTAAGCATGGTGCTAGCAACGCCAAGGTCTTGGGTTTGATTCCCAGAGAATGCGTGAACTGATAAAATGTATACTTTGAATGCAACGCAAGTCACTTTGAATAAAAGCATCTGCCAAATTCATTATATTGTCATGATAACTAGCTGGAGTGCCATTGATATCCACCACTCCAGGGTACTCCATCTCATACCTTTGCCACTCTATCCTGGACTGCATTCCCCATAATCCTTTGCCCGGTCTCATCAGCACTGATTGTTTGCACCTGTGTCTCGTTAGCCTTGTTAGCTCACCCTATAAAAGCCCAGTGCTCGCTGTTATTGTTTGCTATAAATACTGCATTTCTAAGCCTCGTTTCCTGGTTCTCCTTGTCTTGGTCCCTGGTTTTGTTTCCCTGCCTGTGTTTTTTCCCCTGTTGCTATTGTTTGGACTGATTGCCCGTGTTATGACCTTTGCCTGTTTTGGACTGATTGTGGATTACCCCTTTAATAAATACTGCATCTGGATCCTCAAACTTCATGTACCTGTGCAGTTTCATGACATATATAAGTTATATCTTAACTTATTTTGTGTTCCACGGAAGAAAGAAATCATAAAGATTTGGAACAACATTAGGGAAATATTGAGAAACTATTTTGAGTTGATCTATTGAATGCAGAGACATTTCTGTCATCCTAGAATTCATTCAGAGTTGTGAACAACTTAAACACATACATCAAGTTGTGAACATCTTCAACACATACATCCAACACATACACATGGTTCGGAATAAATTGCTTAAGACATCTGACCTCACAGACATGCAGCTTAATAAACGTTTGGCTTTCTGACTCAGCAGAGTCATTGGAGAGTTTGACAAGCGGCGACTGCTTTAAGACTACACAGGAAGCATGGCATCCCCTAAAAGTTCCTGACAAAATGCAGCAATGATGTTTATTTATAAACAAATAATATACATAGCTATTTTAAATATCACTCTGGGTACATTTCAATACTGTAGTGGATAAAAGTGTGATATATTACACAACACTGGCATGCTGGCCTTTGAAGATCATTTTATGTGATGTGTGTGACTCATAAAGCATGAAACATCATATAGTGACTGTTCAGAGATACAGATGAAGATAGAAGTTTGCTGTAATATTTAGCTTAGCATTTATAATCTTGTTTTTGACGTTTTTGTAAATATTGCAGTTCTTAGCACTTATAAATCATTTCACTGTTTAGCTGTTTGAGAAGCAGCTTTTTGGGAGCAAGGAAGCATGGCATCCCCTAAAAGTTCCTGACAAAATGCAGCAATGATGTTTATTTATAAACAAATAATATACATAGCTATTTTAAATATCACTCTGGGTACATTTCAATACTGTAGTGGATAAAAGTGTGATATATTACACAACACTGGCATGCTGGCCTTTGAAGATCATTTTATGTGATGTGTGTGACTCATAAAGCATGAAACATCATATAGTGAATGTTCAGAGATACAGATGAAGATAGAAGTTTGCTGTAATATTTAGCTTAGCATTTATAATCTCGTTTTTGACGTTTTTGTAAATATTGCAGTTCTTAGCACTTATAAATCATTTCACTGTTTAGTTGTTTGAGAAGCAGCTTTTTGGGAGCAACATTGTGTAGGCCTGTTATTTTAGATGTTGAAGTCATATATTTGAAGATACCTACACATTTAGCAGTTTGATAACTTATATCTGTGCTTCATTACATTCCTTAGTCTGTTGCCCTCAGCTTTTGGATTATTTTTGTGTGACCTTAATTTTTGCTTGAGCCTGCGTTCCCTGTGTTGATGAGTTTGAGCAGACCCCACCATGTGACCTCCACAGAGCCGCCCAGTGCTGGCTGGGGTGAAATGACTCCTATAACGGAGCTGGGAGAACTCTATCAGTTCCCATACAATTCATGTCAGGAGCTTTGCACCCTGGTTCAGTTGTAGCGACAGAGGTGCTTCTGTACACCAGCTGAGAGGCTGGTCACTGTAATAAAGCCTATAATGGCTTGTTTTAGAAGCAATGATAAAAGGCCTTTCCAAGACAATTGAAAAGTGTGTAAGGAAAGAGACAGACAGACATGAAGGGAGAAAGACTATGATGGATTCTGAGTAATTATTGCACTGCACCATCTTACAGGTTTGTGTGAGGAGATAGGCTTGGGAAAGAGAAGAGTTGATAAGAGAGCAAAATGTACCGACAGTAGAAAACTGGAGGTGCTTCTGTTCACCAGCTGAGAGGCTGGTCACTGTAATAAAGCCTATAATGGCTTGTTTTAGAAGCAGTGATAAAAGGCCTTTCCAAGACAATTGAAAAGTGTGTAAGGAAAGAGACAGACTGACATGAAGGGAGAAAGACTATGATGGATTCTGAGTAATTATTGCACTGCACCATCTTACAGGTTTGTGTGAGGACATAGGCTTGGGAAAGAGAAGAGTTGATAAGAGAGCAAAATGTACCGACAGTAGAAAACTCAGCTCTGATCAGCACAGGCTGACAGGTTTTGGCCTTTTTATACGCATCAAGATTCTTAAGGGAATCAATTGTTTCTACTATTATATTGCAGATAATATCTAAACATCCTTAAATATTAATTTACTTACAGCAAAATGTGTAAGATAATATAATTGTATTATCCCTATCCCATTGCAAAAGTTTCCCCCCCTAGTTTTTTTCTTGCATGAACACTTAAGAGTGCATTTTGTTAAATATTTATATAAAAAAGCTGCCTTCTTTTAACAAAACAAATTTTTTTCAAATGAATTTTCATGCTTTTTTCACCCATATAATGAAATTTCATAATCATTTCATAATGACCAAATTATTGAGTTGAACTCGGGAACCAAAATCAATGAATGAATCATTCTTTTCAGCAGACTCAATCATAATCAACTCACTGACTCCATTCACAGGGGTTCTTGAGTTAACGTTTCAGTAAAATGAAAGATTGTCAGTTAATAATTACTCGTTTGTTTTTCTGTTCCTCTCCAGAAGCTTCAGAAGACTTGGAATACAGTGTACAAGTCATGTGGTCCACTTTTATTACGTTCTTTTCAGTCACTATAAGTTTGTA